TCTTGTACATCTTTTTTTTTTTTTAAGATTTTATTTATTTATTTGACAGAGACACAGCGAGAGAGGGAACACAAGCAGGGGGTGTGGGAGAGGGAGAAGCAGGCTTCCCGCTGAGCAGGGAGCCCGATGTGGGGCTCGATCCCAGGACCCTGGGATCATGACCTAAGCCGAAGGCAGACGCCCAAGGACTGAGCCACTCAAGCGCCCCGTACATCCTACTTTTAAAAAGTGCTCAAATTTATGAATAATGCCAGTTAGTTGGCAAAAAGCTAACTGTATTTTAGTGCCCCAGTCACTGTATCTAGTTTGCCTTTTGAATGAACATGTAAAATCAGCAATCTTCATTAAAAACAAACTGATCGGACTTAGTAAATACTCCTGGGAGGATGAAGTCCTCTGGGAAGCTGAGGCCCCAGGACGCAGTGTGACCCCCCCCACCTGTACTGCTTGTGCTCGTTAACTTCGTTAGAATACAGCTGTTCAGGCTCTTCCAAAATTATCAATACACTTCAGTTGGTGACAGGCGAGCGCTGGGATTAAGATAAGTCAGTTAAGGGCTGTACTTTTTCCACTTGGGTTGTAGGAAGACTCAGTACATTTGATGTGCTACTTGGCTTCTCTAGGATGGTTTTAACATTCTCCTTTCTGCCTGTTTGTGGGGCGTTTTGTCTGTAGCTCTTGCCTCTGGTGGCTCTCTTCCAATAACGTCACTGGATGCAACTGGGAACCTGGTCTTTGCCAATGCAGGAGGAGCCCCCAACATCGTGACTGCCCCCCTGTTCCTGAACCCTCAGAACCTCTCTCTGCTCACCAGCAACCCAGTGAGCTTGGTCTCTGCCGCTGCGGCCTCCGCAGGGAACTCTGGACCTGTAGCCAGCCTTCACGCCACCTCCACCTCCGCTGAGTCCATCCAGAACTCTCTCTTCACAGTGGCCTCTGCCAGTGGGGCCGCCTCCACCACCACCACCGCCTCCAAGGCACAGTGAGCTGGGCTGCACGGGGCTGCCACTGGCCTTTTCCACTCGCGGCACGATCGGGCTGCCAGCCAGGCTGAGACTGAAAAATGTGATTGGCTTCCTCTTGCCATGTTTCAGCAGCAAGGGAAAGAAGGGAGAGAAGGAAAAGAACGCATACCAGGAAAAAAAGAAGGATGGAGACAGGACAACATTTGCCTAATTTTGTAATAAAACACTGTCTTTTCAGGATTGCTTCATGGATTGGAGAACTTTCTAACCAAAAATTAAAAAAAAAAAAAAGCAGAAACAAAAAGTCAAAAACAAAAAAGAAGTGAAAGGACTACTTATCATTTCCAGCAGTCATGATGACAAGTTAAGGTGGGTTACCAATTCCAATATAGGAAGGGGATTTCTTGTTTGTCTAAATTTCTTTTTTCTTAAAAAAAAAAATCATTTTTATGGGTCTGTTGTACAGGCCATTAAGTCATAACAAGGTGTTTATAATCGTATCAATTGCGTTGGGGGTTCCTTTCTTAACTGGTACAATTTAGGCAGGCCTGTATTACTGTATCTCTATTATTATTGTTGTTGTTGTTATTGTTTTTTATATATATATATAGTTTGGACATGTTTATCTCTTGCTCCTGGATCCTATTTCAGTGAGCTCCCACACTGTGGGGAGGGAGGGTTTGGGGGTAAGGGGAGACTTACGTTCTTAACTGCGGGGAATGTTCTTGCTGGTTTCCTTATCCTTGATGACTCTTACAGAGGTGCTAGAAAATTATTTTCTTTTGCCACTTATGCAAGAGGCTTGGTGCAGAAGCTGAAGGCAGTGTGTGCAAACACTCCCATCCCACACACGCCCCCTCCCCCCATCAGGTGGTGCCTTTGGAGCACTTTTGTGTAGGAAGGAATTCCTGCTGAACTGTAGCTCTCACTCACCCCAGATCATTGAATGACCCTGAGGCCCAGACCCTGCGGTGCCCTGGTGCTGCCTCTGCAACTTCCCATGGGGACGGCCGTGCGCGCGGCAGGGCAGGATCTGGGCCCGAAGAGCAAAGACTACTGCAGACACCTGACTTGGTGGTTCTCCTGATTTCTTATCTCCTGAAAAATGCTCCTACTGTTGGTGTGTTTGTTTGTTTGTTTCCATTTTGTGGAAGTTTTTCATCCAAACTTCCTTTCATTTACTTGGCAAAGAGCGAATTGACTTACGGAAATTGGGAAACTCCGCCCTTCTTTTGTTTTCTGAAGGAACTCCACTAGACTATTGCCATCAATTCTGTATTCCCAAAGAGGTGTGATGAGAAGAGTCTGAGGCTACCACCTTTTCCTCTGGCCGCAGGCTTCCTTTTCACTGGACGGCGCGTAAACTCCTCTAACCCTGAGACGCTCCTTGCTTCCCTGACTGGAGAATGCACTTACTAGCTGGGCATGGGGTCTTGAGAACCTTTGAAGGACTTTGAGCAGGAACTTTGCACACACCTCAAGTGTCTCCTTGGTTTGTTAGTGATGCTCCAGCTAGGTAGGTCACAATGGCAATACCCGTCTCGCTATACAATGTAGAAAGTGATTAGCTTCTGGAATTGTTTTCAGGGTGTTTCTAGACTATGTAAATGAGCCCATGGAAAGGAAGAGTTTATGGAAGTAGATGAAGAGGAATGAGGCTAACTTGGAAATTCAGTTCCCCTTTCTGTCAGCATAGTATGATTACAATATCTGTACCAGAACATTTCCCAGAAGACTGGATCTCTGCAGTGTGGCTCATCTGAGCTTCCCTTCATCTTGGAGGTCAGGGTTCCCATTTGGTGTCTGTGGGTGCTTGCTTATGTCTCTGGAGGCCCAAGACTGCACTTGCCGCCCCCCTTTCGAGCTGGGGTCTGAGAGAGGGTGTACACGTCATTTTCATTCTGATTGCTCTGCTTGTGTTCCGGAAGGGAGCTGGGAATCTGTATTTGTCTCTTCACAGTGTTGGGAAAGGCAGTGATACAGACACGGTGTGTATGTTTCTTTGTGATCATCTAAGTGGGAGACAGGCACCTTCATATTAAAAGGCCAGAAACATTTTTAGTCCCTTTGTTAGTTTTTCTTTTGTTGCTTCTGTCTTCCTGTTTTATTTCACGTTGTATTTAATTATCAACCTAAATTTCCTCTTCTCACCAGTGAGTTCACCTTCCCTAAAATCCCTCCAAAATCAGTGAACTGCAAGCAGGGAAACTAACAAATGTCCATCCACCTTTTTTATGTGTGGTGTGTTTTTTGTTGTTGTTGTTGTTGTTGTTTTAACTAAGCTTGAACCAAAGTCAATTTTTAGCAAGCTGCTGTACTAATGGACTAGTTTATAACGTGCATTTCAGACACATTGAAGAGATAGATGCTACTGACAATTTCTTTTTTTCATTTGTCTTTATTAATTTTATATAAAAGTTGCTGCTTGTTTTAATCGTTTATGTTGGTAAATTGTAATATCCTCTGGGCGGACATTACCTTGATTTTAACTAGTTTATGTAGTTGGGTGTGTAAATAGAATGGTAGTGTCAGTTACGAGTTTCTCTCCTCTCCATATGGCTATTTCTCTAATGTAGTTAAGTTTAATCTTTTATCCTGACTTGACATCTCTAACTTTAGTCTGTGCAAATGGTTTTAGGGCCATCAGTAATACTCTGGCTGCCCATTGGAACGAGTCCCTCCCCTGGGAGTAGTAAGTTAGGAGGAAGGATTCAGGGAGGGAAATGCTGAGACCCACCATCCTGGATTAGAGGTTATAGCATTAATTTCCCAAAATTGCTACCAAAGGAAGTGTGGAGTCCTCAGGAACTCAAACCCAGTGGATCAAAAGGAAGGGCAAGGAAAGGCTGTGCTTGTTCGTTTGTTTTCCTGTGTGGTTCAAAAGATGCTCCCTCTCCCAAATCAGATTCACCAACAGAATTCAATATTTTAAAAGATATTAAGCTTTAAATGTCAGTACGATGGTCTTCTATTCCCTGCCCTGTCTGTATTCTCTAGTCAATCTGGGATAAGGGGATTCTGCCTTTTTGTGTGTGTGGATCACCTTATGAGGATAAACCTTAAACCAGCATAAAAATATGTGTTTAAAAGAAATAAATCCTTAGACAAAGGTAACTTTTAAAAATTTTTCTCATTTTTTTCTTATTTAAAGACAAACTGTAAAATGAAAGATACATTTGTACATGTACATATGAAACACTAAAAGACTTTGTTGATGGGTGTTTAGTTTAAAATCACCTCCCCATCACCACCCCTAGATATTCTGCTGATCCTACTGCTTCATGACCCAACCTTTAGTCCTTTTTTACTTTATATTTTTTTATCATCTCAAGAAATGCTTTTTGAATTGAGTGAGTCTCCTAAGCTGAGGTCAGACTTAACTTTTAACCCCCTTATATGGGAGAGTCTAGAAAATAAGGGGGCCATTTGATCAAAAAGAGGTGTTTGGTAGAGTTTTCTGCGTTTCTAAGCGGATGGGCCAGATAGGTCATCATAACTCATTGTACATTCTTCTTTTTCCCCCCCTAATGATTATGCAAATTTTATTTCATCCCTGAATTTGGTGAATACATATTAAACCAAAGACTAATTCTGAATGCATTTATAGTGATACTATATTTGCCCATGGTAATGGGCCCTCCCTAGGGAGTGGTGAATGTAATTGAATTCTGCTTATCACAAGCAGTGCAGTTTGGTCATGAACTTTATTTATACCCTGTATGAATCTGAAGGACTGAGCAGAAAGACCTAGAAAAGGGCTTCTCATAGGAACAGTATTATTGTTCCTAATTTAAGAAATAAGTTGAGTGCTATATTAGTTTAAATGTTTCTGAAATTATATAGGCAGCTTTTTAGAATTAAAAAAAATGTTCATCTCCATTACCTGACACAGTACACACTTCCTTTTATTTATTTGATAAAGACCAGTACCATCCCAATTTACTCAACTTATTACTCAAGAAATGGAACCAAAGGAATCCAACTTTCATTTTGTGTAGGACCATACCTATCTGTACTTCATGGTGGCATTATTAGAAATTAACAATCCTTTTTTTTGTTTTAAAGGGAAAATAAGGTTATAATTAAAAGATTTTTAGTGAGATTATCATGCCATTTCGTTTTATATAATTCATTCATTGTTGGGGGGAAAAAAGCACAATTATACCTCTTTTTTATATTATTTTGTCCTCTCTCGTGTAAATGGGAAGATGGGGGAAACCTAGTCTAGATTATCCAGAAGCACAGACATTGCTTGGCGCAATCTTTAAGGTCAGCCCAATCTTTAACGTTACATTTTCTATTTAAATTGCTGGGGGAAAAAAATAAATAAATTGCTGGGAAAGCTGGGTACATTTGCAGATACAGGAAATCATTGCAGATTTTTAAAGTTCTAACCCCTGAGAGTAAACATTGCAATTAGTGTATAACAAACACTTGGCTTACAGAAGAAACTCTTTGTAGTTCACAGTCTAAAGTTGTTCCCGTCCCTTGTCATCCTCACAAAACTTTCTTCGCCAAGAAAAAAAATAAACCCGTTGAGAGAGGAAGAAAAGGGAGGAGGGCTGGTGGGGAGAAGTCCCCAGCACCAGGGCTGGCGGCAACCTTGACGGTGAGGCGCACCCCTCGGCCTCCTGCAGGCAGTACACTTGGGGCTCAGACCCCTTAGGGGCAGCCCCCAGGTCAGTCCGCAGCTTGGTAACCTCAGTTAAAGAAGAGCCGCAACGATTGAGTATGAGATTTTGGCCAAATACTTTCTCATTAAATGAGCATTTAAATCGATGAATTTAAAGTTTATTTATTCCTCAAACCATGATTATTGATAGAGCTGAAAATGTTAAGAGACCATCAGTGCTAACGGAGAAAATGACTAAAGTCCTGAAATTTAAAGTGATTCCAGTGGACAAGAATTGATGGATGACTTTGATCATAACCATTGTGAGTGCATGTGTGTGTGTGAGAGAGAGAGAGAAAAGCCTGTCATGTGTGACATTGTTCATGTAGTCATAGCCCTGGCCATTTTGAAGTCATTTTCCATCTTAAAACATATTTGACGACGACATTATAAAATGGTAAATCTTTCTTAGCATTTACCTTCATTTTTGAGAAGGAAAAAGAATCTTTTGCCATTCTTTAAGAAAAATAACTTAAGATCCGCTATTATGCAGTTTTGCATAATGGTGGACACAGTACAAATGTGAGCTTGGACAGGAATAGGATAACTAGACTGCTTTTATCATTAAGAGCTAATACTAATCCTGTTCTGCCTCATTCTTTTCTTAATCCAAAGAGATTAAATGGGACACCCCTGAGACTTCCAGGAAGATCTTTGAAAGGATTTCATTAGGAGGGCAGGGAAATACGTTTTTTCTCAGATTTGTCCAGTTTACACCCAGATTTCCATATGGTTTTTGAGCTGTTGCTTTCTTCTGATCGTCCTTATCCATGAAGCACTTAGTTCCTTGTTTTGGCTTTTCTATTCTTGGCCTTTTCTAAAAGCAGTAACTTGGGTGACTCTTACTTTGATTCTGTGACCTGGAGCTCCTTTCCCTCTTCCTTCTCTTCCTTTTCCTTTTGAATGGTGATACCTTAATCTGTGAGGGTAATGCTGGTGGGTAACAGCTAGCTTCTGGCACCTTCATAAAATACCTCAGTATAGCTTAGCATTGTTGCAGACCTGGTTTTAATCTAAAAACCAAATAAATAAAAAGAAGAAAACTTTATAAATAGTGGAAATAATCCTAGCTGTAGCATTTAGTTGAACTGATGTTTATTATGATTGATAAACATGATCGATGCTGTATGTATTTGGGATCCTGTTTATAGGTTACAATTTATAGGGTTAGGGAGGGTTGGGGTGGGGAGAGGAGAAGTTGATTATGTTAGAAGGAAAACGTTGCTCATGTGTGTTTGTTTTTCCTTATATCTGTCTTGCCAAAGGAAACTTAATTATCCCTGGGATGGGTTTGGGATTCATTGGCCTCTCTGTGGTTAGACCTGCATTGCAGTGTGTGGTGGTGGCTTGCAGGTCGCACATGGGTTGTCCTGGAGGTTCAGGGTCCCCTAAGACATTTACATCCCTTCCTATGGTCGCTCTTGCCCCCAGACCCTGCCATCCTCTCCTAAGGATTCATTACCTCTCTATGTAGCAAGAGCTTAGGCAAAGGACGAATGTGTGGGTATCTGGGTGTGTGGTTGAGAGATAGAGGCAGAAGTGGACATGCGCCATTTAATTTGGAGAGGAAAGATGAGTTCGTGATGCATCTTAGTCGAGGGAAATTAAAGTAAAACAGGTTCTTTTTGTCACCCTCTGTCATGTTACTGAATGTTGTGCTAGTAGCCCAACATTTTAAAACCCTACTTCCTTTTTTCATACCAAGGCTAATTCTGTCTAGACCAAAAAATGCAAACAGAAGTAAAACCAAACGAAGCAGTTGAAAGCCAACCTGCTTGCCTCACACGTGTGCTAAGGTGTGACCTTTAGGGATTGGTAGGTTGCTGAGATTGAGGAGAGTGTTGTTCTTGGTGGGAATGTGAATGAGAAATGATGCCGGTGTAGGAGAAATTGAAGAGCCCTTTCTGCCCAGACAGACAGACAGTCTTGGCTCCCCACGTTCAGATATAGACTATATCTCCAAAAAGGTTATTTTTAAATAAACCATCCATCTCACAGAACTTGAGTGGGATTTGGTTTGGATACCAAAGACACTGCTATGTCACTGTTTATTCTTAGGGTTTCAAAATAGGCAGAGAGAATAGGAGTTAAAGGCTGAAATTTGGAAAAAGCTGTACCTATGTCTCTTTTCTTTTTCCTCTCCTGTCCTTTCTCTCCTCCCTTACCCCCTTTTTGAAGGAAGTCTTGTTGGTTATCCTGGCTTTGGAAAAGAGATTGATTTAGTTTCACTCTGCTGGCTCTGTAAAGATGGATAGAGTTGCTCAGTGCAGCCGTGATGTTCTTAGAATTGCTGGCAAACTGGGGGGAGGGCAAAAGATGGGGGGTAGAATTTTTTTCTTCATTTCCCTTTATCTAACACTTATAAATAGAACCAGTACAGTCTGTTTGAGTTCAGATGATACCTAGACGTGCTATCTCTGTTCTGTCACTTGTAAGGGATAAGCATTTTCAAGAGCAGGATTACATGGAAAACCAAAAGACTTTCCTTTACTCTCCCAGGGAGCTGTTATCTTTCCAAAATGGTTTTATACATGAGTTCTAGGGAGTTCAGAAGTTTGTTGTCTTGGTGTACTATTGGTGGGACACAGAAAGATGGGTCATTTATTGCTCTCTTGATACTCTGTCAAGAAATGATCAGGTTGCAGAACTTCATGAAAGCTTTACTAATAATCTCATTGTTCTGACATTATGTAAAAGTGGTATTAATCTTGTGTGACTTTCAAAGCGCTAGAGAGGTTTGTAAGTAGGTGATAGGGATAGTGAGGATAAGAGCACTCGACACAGACGTTACGGAAAACAAGGTGTGCGTGAGGGAACACCACCTGGAGTGTGGAAGTGAGCCTCCCCAGGCTGGGGAGGGAAGGTGTCCCTGCATCTGCCCGCTCTGCACAGGGCTTTGTCACCTGGCACCACCTTCTGGTTCAAACCCAGGACACTGTCAGCAAGTTCAGACCCCAGAAGTAATTTACTGTAAAAAAACATTGAGGTCTGCTGCAAAGTTCCCCCGTGTTTTCTCAGTTGACCGGCTCATCCTTGTTTTGAGTCAGCCACAACCTTAGAAAGCAGCTCTTCGGGCTTCTTTCCTGACCTGGCAGCAGCGCTGAGCTCCAGCGTTAGACCCCGAGGGCCGCAGGCGGGCAGCCCGAGAGAGTGCTGTGCGAAAGCGGCACATCGCCACGCTTGTTTTCACACTGGAATCTCCTTCGAGTGACACAGTGAGAAAGGACAGAGCCCAGTAGGGGAAGGGCGCTTCCACCGAGCCCTCCCAGGCTCTTGGAGGCTGACGTGTAGGCGGTTCTGCCAGGAAAGGCCGTGCGGCAGGTGCGCGGGGTGCCGCGTTTCCGGTTCGGGCCTGCCCAGGTCTGCAGGAGGAGGCCCGGACTTCGCTAAGAGTTGAGCGGACTGATCCCAGCCTGGGTGTATTGGAAACCGCCAGCGTTGGGGGCGGGGGGCGGCGGAAGGAGCAGAAGGCTCGGTGGTCATACTACAGGTTGGTTCTCTGCAGCGTCCGTGGCGGGCTGCCCCTGAGGCAAAGGCAGAGGCACGACGGACTTCTTCCAGCTCCTCGCCTCTGCCTGCGGGAGCGCATGTGCAGTACTCGGTCCCCGGGACGGGGGGTCTCCCTCTCCCAGGGAACAGAGGTCGCCTCCCGCACCGCCCGTAGCTCCGGGCCCTTGCTCCCTGGCAGTGGCTGAGGCTAGGTGAGCAGGTGTGGCGCTGCGGCCCACCTCGAGTCCAGCAGCTGTCGTATACCTCATTTCAAACTCATGATTGAGTAACTTGCTTTAACTTTGCTAAACCCTACAGAGTTGCCAGGTCTGCCCTCCCTCCTCTAAGTAATGTTGAACTCTGGCCTATAGCATCACGGGACCTGTAGCCTAGGGTGGGACCTCCTCAAGCCTCTGAATGTCGCTGCTGAAAAGCTACTGCAAAGTGAGGGCAAATTGCAATCTTCTGTGTCTTGTCGTTGCAAGGGGTCTTCACAGGTCTCTTAACATCGGCTTTCCCCGCCACCCTGCCTTCAGGGGCTGGCCCTCTCTCCACGCCCCCACCCCGCGCCACAGGTCAGATTTCCCTGGTGAGGTGGAGGCCGTCCCCTTCCTCTCCGAGGCCTCAGGGTTCTGCTTATTTTCAGGACTTTGGGTGGAAGGGAAAAGACACCAAAGGCTCCTTTAAGCTGACTGCTGCATACACATTTCACTTTTTTTCCTTTGACATGACCAAAAAAAAAAAAAAAAAATCCAAATATTTAAGTTTCTATTATTAATATTATTATTATTTGACAATCTTGTATCCAGTGGGCTCTCTAGAAGCTGCATCCCCAGCCCTTTCACCTTTTCTTTGAATGTAGTTCCCAACCTTCGATTCCCACCCCCAATGTTGAAAGAAAGCTTTGCCAGGTCTTAATACTGCTGCTATAAGCCAGGGGAGGGTGGTTTCTTTGTTTTGTTTTGTTTTTTAAATTTCCAGCCAAAACCAAAGATTCCTTGATGATTGTATAAACTCAAAACAAACAAAAAAACCAAAGAAAAGGGAAGTCTTCAGCATCAATCCAGTCTGTGGCGTCCTGGCATTTAGAGGAGTGAGGCTAGGGGTGGGGGTGGGGGCCTCTGACTCATGGTAAGGGCAGGGGGCTCTTTTTTCCGTGCTTTGGGGTTCGCAGAGGTGCATCCTCAGTAGCTTTGGCTCTGGCCAACTTGTGAATGTGCCGTGGAACAAATTGGCATTTCAGATTTTCCAAAGCAGTAGACAAAACGCCGTCACCGTGCTGATCTACCGGACAGCAAACCACGGTCACCGCGGGGGCTTAGCACAGGGACTGGAGGGCTGGGGGCTACCGCTGGACCCACAGAGTGGGGGGAAGTTGAAGACACTGGTGCAGGCCTGGCTGCTCTGCTGGGTGCTTGGACCTCTGGGGTCATGACAGTGAGTACACGCCAAGGTGCCCTTCTGAGCCTTTTCTCTTTTCCTTGACTGGAACTGCTTGGAAGTGGCTGTCCTGTTTGTGAGAAAACATGCAGAAGGGTTACCATGCTTTTCATTTCTCCTTGCTGTAGTTCGTTTCCTTTGGCAGCACCACTGTGCAACTATGCATTGTATCTCACAACCTTTGTGCTAGGTAGATGCCTGTGACTTTTTAACTTGGGGGTGGGGGCGGGGGGGGTTGCAAATGAAGGAACTTTTTACATGGATCTTTTTAATCTCAGTTGATTGGGGGAGGGGGGTATTTGGTTCTAGGGTCATACAAGCTCTATCCCAAAGCAAAATCCAAATGTTAATAATATTAGCCTGATGCAGATACCAAAGATGATTTCTTTCCTGCAGAACCTTAGACTTGTGTATTAAGTACGATTACCCAGCACTTGCATTAGTCTAACCTCAGTAATTCCAAAGCTTAGATGTATATTTTGGTATATTTCTGGGATATTAAAAAAAAAAATGTCGTTTAACTTCTTGTTTGTTTCAGTGTAATGCTCTTAAAGTCATAGCATGAAAATAACTGAACTGTCCTATTCTTAGTAGTTTGAAATAATAGTATTTTTGTATGTTTTGGGTGTGTCTATGTATGTATTAACATAACAGTTTTCACTGCCTAGGTGTTCATAATAAAAAAGAAAATGAAAAAGTTCTGAGTGTACATAATATTCAGTAATAAACTTCCACCAGGTTCAATTTGGATTGCATATTTGCGGATTACTGTTCCCAACGAGGATTTTGTTTTGTTTTAAAGAGACAGTGATCTTGTTTTCCTAAAGACTTCTCTCTCTCTCTGTCTTTAAATATCTTAACTCCCCCTCCCCCTCTTTTTCTTTTCTTCCTTTTTTTTTTTTTAAATATTGATTCAGGGGTGTTTTTCCACTGTTGTCAAGGGAGAGTCATAAGGGGTATTGGCCCCTTGGCCTCCCGAAACTTTTTGTTTTATGTACTTAAGTTTAAAATGTGAGTTTGAGTTCTCTTTTGTGGAAACTTAAGATGTGGTGTAAATGATTCTTTCCAAAATCGTCCAGCAGCTTTAACGAGGCAGTGACAGTTTCTGAGTAGTTGGTTGGGCGTCCTTTTACGTTTCTCCTTAGATCCTGGTGCAGTCTGGGTGGCTGCTGCATAGCCTGCCCCAGAGTGCCTGCTTAGCCATTTCCCCTCTGATAGGGGCGTTTTGTAAGAATCTGCTGATAACTTGGAGTTCGGGGGACCTTGTTATCTGGGCCCCTGGGAAACACACGTTTTCTTGATTTCAAAAACCCAAAACACAAGCAACTTTACATTTTGGGGAATTAGCTGATGTGCCTCCCAGAGGCCTGAGGGAGGCGGTGGGGAATATGAGCGGTGCTGTCTCTTTAAAAGTGCCCTTTATATGATTCCCCCTCCTGGGGCCTCCTGCAGGGGCTGTAGGCTTGGGAGAGATTGCGTAGGTGACAGTGAATCAGAATGAAATGGTAGATTTTGTGTAGATGCATTTGTCTGCTGTAATTTTTATATATATATTAAACTTACTGTAACTGTACAGTTTGTTTCTGTTGTAAAACATCATTAAACCATTTTCCAAGTGTTTTCACATTGTTGGGAGTTTCCTTGAAATTGTTGTGTTGGTGTTCTGGATGCTTCCCGCACAGAGGGTCACGGAAGCCTTCCAGTTTGTCTTTTCCAGCAGGAGCTCCCAGGAGCCCCAGGCCCCCTGAGCATCTCCGTTCCTAGCCCACGCCCACCCTGGGTCCTACTGTGCGTTTCCTCCTGTGCCCCTGGGGGGCGCTGTGACCAGCACACCTCTCCCTCCCCAGACCCTCAGAGTTTAGGGGGGGCCCTGATTCAAGTAGCAGTAGTCTCCTTCACACCCCCTGGGCTTTGTGTGACCAAACACACGGGCCCTTGACTAGTCCTGCAAGAAAACTCCAGAGCTCCCATTTCACTTGTGTCTTTGACGGCAGACCTGGCATTGAACTTGACTTTTCCGCATTTACTGTTTACACTCTTGTGCCCCTCCAGCCTTCCCTGCCACATCCTGAACACCCACTCTCTGGGGTTCTCTGAAAGAGGCTAGTCCTGGACTTGGTGTCTGGTTCTCCTGTCGGAGAGCACACAGCTTGGCTTGGCTTAGCTCCCTCCGGCTTAGGCTAGTTCACATTTAGTGTCATAATGCAACCTGTTGTCTGAGCATTTGACTCTTAAAGTGAATTCTCCCAGAGAGCAAACCTGAGCTTGTTGAAGAGCTTTCGGAGGCACTCCTGTCTAACTGGACTGAACCTGGCCCTGTGTGCCCCGCGGAGGAGGAGACGGCTGTTGTCTCCAAGGCGCTGGCCGTCCCCTGCAGGTCCCAGGGTGGGAAGGCAATACCGGCTCTTCTGTCCCCTGCTCCTGCCTCCAAGAGCTCCTCCTCCATCACCATCCACCCCTTCTTGTATTTATAGCTTGCATGTAAGTTGGGGGCTTATTTTTAATAGAAATCCTCTGATAGAGACAGTGGCACGCTCACTAGCATGGGAAAGACTTGAGAAAGCAAAACCCGTTTGTGAACCCTAAAGAACGGGGATAGAGTACTGAATTAGATCATTACCCTGCAGTCCTTTTCTAACCCGCTTCCTGTTGGCATCTGCCAAGCTGAATCACCTACGAGGTGATGTGAATAACGTCTGCTCTTATTGTTGCCTTTTCTCCCAAAACTAGGGCTTGAAGTTGTAGGACATAAATCTGTAGTTAGACCTCACCTCAGTCATAGGTTCACAGAAATATCCAGGGCCAGGCCACCAAAATGCACGAGTTATTCACAGACAGAACAAGATCTACAGCTAACAGCCGTAACCGAACCCCCAGGCCCTGAGTCCCCTTTGGAGCTATCCTCTTAGCCGAATGGATCATCTGCCCTTTTTGTACCTGCCACACCTGGGCTTCAGTGACTATTCTGTTTGTAAACCAGGAGCCTTGAGTTCTATTCCAGGAAAAAGAAAAATTGATCAGAATTATCCACATTGACTTTAGTGACATCAAAGTCATGACAGTTTTGAAAAATACTTTGGAAGCTTCCATTTTAATTTACGTACACACATAAAATGTTTTGGTTCCTCAATGCAAGTGAGATGCCATACTTCCTTGGTCCTAAAACACATCTTCATATTTTAACCCTTACGAAACAGGGCTGCATCTTACAATGGGTGTTTATGTTAAGAGTGGTTTTTTGTTTGTTTGTTTTTGTACTTAAAAGTAAGTTGATAGCACATCTTCTACAATCAGTAACTTCCTGGGATGGAAGGAATACAGTTGTGCTTTGAAGGGAGGACTGCCAGACCCGAGGAAGGGCAGGGGCTGGGCGGCCCCAGGGCCGCCTCCCCTTGGCCCCTGCTTCGTTCCCCCAGCATGTGCTCAGCCCTCGCCCAGCTGGCTGCTCTGTGTGGCTGTCTTTCCTGTGGTCCAGTAAGTGTCCTCACTCCCCCACCTAGGTCAGCTGCAGTGCCCACACCTCGTTGCTAGCTTTCCTCCCTGCCTCTTGATCAGATTCTTGACGGAACTGGGTCCAACTCCTATTTGCAAGCCAGCCATATGGGTCACGCGGCCTGTGGGTAACTCAGCGGACCTTGACTCGGTCTGAGGTATGAGGCTCACTCACTTTGACTAACAGATGAACCCAACCTCAGGTTTTAAAAAGCCCAGTGAGTAGAAGCCAAAGGAGTAGCAACCCAAAAGTGGCCGTCTGTTGTCTTGGAATCAAGGCAGCTAAAGCCACTCGCTGTCATTTTCCCATTCCATTGCCTGGTGACCAGGCCGCCTAATTAGGGCCGGCAGGCGTCAGAGGCCTACCTCGCACGAAACCTGCCCCGCTTCCCAGCCCTTTGCTGGACTGTCTGCACCCCTTCCCTGGCGGCTCCCCCTCCTGCCTGCCGCCTTGTGGGTCGTGATGCGACCTGCGGTGCTTTTTCCGTGGTGCGGCCCGAATCCAACGGCAAAATTTTAAGTCCCGAACGCTGTGGTGGCTCTTCTCTGCCCTCCCTGGTAGCTTGCAAAATGCTGGGCACAGAAACAGGTAGGTGCAGGGTAAATATTTGTTGAATGGCACTGCATTCCCCCGACGGGGCCCGGTTTCAAACCGAATGCCTTCTCCTCATGAGGTGCTACATGTACGCCTCGCAGAGATTCCAGTCACTCCTGCTGGAATCCCAAACGCCCCAAGTCGGCCCCATATTAATTGGGAGCTTGACGAGTTGGGGCCTCTTTTACGGCCACCACATTTACAGACACCCTGACCTAAAGAGACCTCTGTCATGCTCCAGCCCTCCCCAAACCCTGCAGCCCGAGGGTTTGTGCCGTCGCAACTCCCGGACACCCTGTCGGCTGCCAGGGGCTGCTCCGTGGGCCCCCTCTGCTGCGTGCCCGTCCTCCCCAAGCTGGCCACGGGGCTGGGAGCCCTGCACTCCGGCTGCTTCCCCGGGCCCTCCCCGCAGGTCCCGCCCAGGCCTGGCCCAGCCTGACGCCCGCTCGGCCCCGAGGCCCGGCCGCCAGCCCGGACGGCAGCACTCCCGGCCCTGGATGCACCTGGGCCCACCTGCCTGGCCCAAGGAACCATCGTGGCCTCTGGGAGTCAGCGGTTTCGGCCCATGGCAAGGGCACCAGATGGGTCGCCCCAGACCGAATCACCATTACCTGCCGGACTGCCGAAATAAAGCTCGCAGTAAAGGCTGCTTCACCAAAGCGTTTATTATGCAGAAGAGTAAGTAAGGCTTTATTTAGCAAACCAGTATAAATTAAAACCAAGCGGGGCAGAGAGGGTCACACATGACACCTTACAGTACAGCACTGTTCCTGGAAGCCGGCCGAGGCGACCCCGCCACAGCCCTCGGGTGTCTGCAGGTCTGTGAGGGGCCGTGCCTCCTGGGGAGGCCTTCCCAGGGACGCTGTCTTTCACTCGGAGTCTGAGGTGAGCAAGTGCCTGGAAAGAGTGTGCTCTTGCCCCCTTCCCTCGCCCCCACTGTTCGCACTCTGCAACGGCCCTTACTACGTGCTTGAGGCCGGCCTGTTCACAACTCGCGTCCCTGGTGAGAGTGTGAGCTCCGTGAGGACAAGCACAGGCTTGTTCGTCGTCCGCTCCCCAGAGCACCCAGCCCACGAACGCTAAGTTCTGTGAAGGAGGGCCCCTTCCTGTCTGCCCCGCACCCCACCCCGTGGTCTAGCTGAGCCTCCATCACCGCTCGCCTGCTCCCCTGCTTCAGCCGCCCGGGCCGGGGCTGTCACAGACCTGCACGGCTCTCCCCACCCCCACCCGCCCAGACCTTGCACGGGGAGGCACAATAGCCCCTTTGCCCCAGTGACAAGTGACCTTGAAATGAGGGCGCAGGTTGACAACAGAAGCCAAATTTACAGCAGGAGCAAAGACACTGAAATACTGACGGAACAGTGAAGACTAGTGGGATATGTGCTAACATTTGGGATTTCTCTGGGGACTTGACAAAACACGGACAGAACATGGCTGTGAGAGGAGGATGTACCCGTCTCCCAGGTAAGAGCCCGGGGCCTCCAGGAGAGGGGCCCGTCCACAGTCTCCGAGGAACCACAAGACCCCCAGAAGCCCCGAGAACGGGTGGCACTCACAAAGCACTCCTCGAGGTCAGGGCCATAACCCTGGCCGAGCACCCTCCCCTCCAGAGCCCAGGGATGATGGTTTGGAGTTGGATATGACCAAATGTTAAAATGCAAAGCATCCAATTCATAAGAGGGAATACTTTGGTGGTGGAGAAATAGGAGTGAACTGGGTTATAAATGCTTTATCCTGAGTCTTTAACAATCTGGGCAGGTCTGGCCTGTGAAATGGTTGGTGAAATGCCTGGGGCTGTTAGCGAGGAGGCAGGGTCTGCATGTGGAGGGCATCATAGGTGTCCTTGGTGGCAGTGCTGAGCCCCTGGGAAAGCAAATCAGAAAAGAAAAGTGGGTCAGGAACTCCGTGTGAGCCTACCCAGAGGTGAACAAGTGGAACGAGCCCCTCACGCCACGGGTGCGGGCCTGGACCCAAGAGGGCTGCAGGAGAGATGCACTCTCTGCCCTGCTGCAGACGGCCCTGGAGCAATTCCTTTCCAGCTAAATTCTCCCCACATACTGAGCCCTACTGTGCATGGGCCTAGAAGGCCTTCCGGTTGGACCCAAGAGGAAGGGGAGCACCCTCATCCCTGAACACTGAGCTGGGATCAGGTTTGCTCCAGAGAGTTTGCTGTCCCTGATACCTGGGCCTCCAGGAAGCCAGGACTTGTCACAGGGAGACGGTGGCTCCCTGACCTCAGCCCTCCTTCCCCAGCCTCCTTCCCACGTCACCCTACTACAGTTGTGTTCTTTGTCGGGGAGCAGACAAGCTGGTCTCAGTCCCACTGGAACATCTCTCCCTGGTCCAGAAGGCAGATCAAAGCAGCCACACACAGGAACATGCTGGGGGCCCTTTTGACATTCTGAACTCGGGCAAGCTGGGCAGCCTGACACGTTGGAGTCAGTCAAGCAAGCTGTGAAGAGCCCAGGGGAGCCAGAAGTAGCCAAATAAGAACCCGCTGGGGATTATATTTTAGAGAAGTAGGCTGGGTATCC